CAATAACCAATCGAATCGCACCAAGCACTATTTCATAGAACACAAGAAATTGATTTTTTTATCTGCTTGTTGTTTAATTCGTCTAAAATTTAAAATGTGAGCAATACTGACAATTGGCCATTGTGTATTGTTGAAAAACATTTTAAGTAGACCGTGCACACGCAAACTGTAATCTTTTTCATGTACACTTAACGCTTAGAGAAATAACTTAGTTATCCCGACATGGGCTGGAAGAATGTAAACCAGGGCCCTCAACGTGACTTGCCAGTTAGGAACTTCCTGCTACATTGAGCTCGATGCACTAATTACCATATCACTTCTCCAGCGAGTTAATTACAATACCATCCCAAGGTCGCATGACTGACGATATGCCTCACACACGAAGACAACAATAGATCAGGATCGATGTAAACAATGGTTATATCACTGCTGGTTGTAATCTGTCGAGTTTACGTCCATTACAACCCTTGTGGTCATTTCGGAGGCGTTGTCACTGTTAGTGGTTGACACGACAATGTCATACACTCCCGCCATTAACACAGCACATATTGACCCGTGAGTTGAAGTATTTTCAGGTGGTGTTTTCAGAACGTATTGGTTTCTGTACAAGGTGAATCTGTTCACACTCGGCTTGTGATTGGGCGTTTGTGGCCCTGTAAACGGCTTATCTCTGAATGTACTAAAAAATAAAAATACATACTGCGGGTGGGGGAACGGTGGATCTGTGGTTAACGAACTCGTGGTTGATCCCAACGTGAACATATATTGCCAACACAATATCTTGATCTAATTATTACGCAATAATTTTATAGTATTTTTTCCGATTAGACACTGAATCTGGATGGCACGCCTGTCTCTGCTTGCGTCCCGTGCATGCGTTCTGTGCAAAAAAATAGAATCCGCTCCTTTTATATTTTCGTGTTTGATATTTTTGTGATTAATGATTATTTCCTGCAAGTGTACTCTTGTATGTACTGTGTACTCTGGACTGAGATTCACTAAGAATGTGAGATGCCACGGTGCCAGAACCTCACATGCACCGGGGTAATAATACAAGCCGGTCTTTCGTAGACGCCGGGTCGACGGCTTGCAGAGATGTTGGTGGTTTGTAGAATAAAATCATTGGTAGACATCTGGACGTCTATTAGAGGAAATGCGGGAAGCTGTACAATATCCACGAGAAACTACGTCAGGTATTACCAGACATTAGATTATAGGATATATCGCCAATACGACTGTTGTAAACGCCTTCCTGTCTGCGGCTGTGTGAAAAGGGACGTTGCTTAATATCTTTTTGCAAAAACTGTTGCAATGGACAACTGCACAAGGTACGGTACACTGGGCTATGTCACGGTGCATGATATAAAAGCATGTATATAGATAGAAATGTGAATAGACTACATAAAACACGTATATGTGTGTGTGTGTGTGTGTGATTTAGTACGGATCCAAGCATATGAGAATACGTTAGTTGTGGGTGCTACGTATGGTGCAAATAAGGAAATACCATCTGGAAGTGTCTTCCATAGAATACATGCCTGTAGCCACGTGGATGACATGATAGGATAAGGTACATACTGGAAGCAGTCTACATCTGTCGTCCACTGTGACGGAGTTGATACTTGGACAGAAACCCCAGGGAAATGACAAGCTGAGCCGATCTGGAACCCAAACCTCGGAAGATTCCTGAGAATCTTCAGATCAAACAAAAGCATCATTTCACTCCTAATGTATTTCTAAAATTTGTTACAATTATTCAACATATCAAAGTGTTTATAGCTCATGTACGCAGCTACTATAAATAAAATGTTTCCAGAACTTTCTCTAACTCTTGTCTGCAGGTCTTACCATAGTAACCAGCACACCACTGCCATCTACTGAATCCTGGTAGAGGAATACAACCAGCACTGTTCTACAATGTCTTCAAACACTTCCACAAAGCATATCAATCACTGTTAACATAGCAGGCATATGCATCACTGTTAACATAGCCGACATATGCATCGTTGTTAACGCAAACCTATGTCTGTGGGTTCGAATCCCAGTTCTCCCTGACTACACCCCCTGGTTTGCCAGCACCATACCCGTGTTCGAGCAGTTCAACGATAATTGTCTGAGACCTGTATCGGCTATGGTTTTCTTCACACATTAATCTGCAGGCTGTGATATTTGTGAAATATTGTTCATTCGGCGTGGAAACCAAATCACTCGATCATTCCCTATACTTGTAGTGAGATTGTTCTCATGATCAAACGTTTTATTACCTCTTAAAGTGTAAGGATATTCCTCCACTGACATACCCTTACTGTATTGTTCACAATATATCCAGTGCCATCAAGAAAGTTATTACAAAGTTGTAAAAGATTTGTCAACAAGACAAATATAGGACAGCTGTAATAGAGTGTGTATGTAGAGTGACACCTGATGCATGCTACAGATTTGAAGTTGTCTATTATTCTTTATAACATTACAAGTCTGCGATGTATAATCAACATTAACACAATTATTCTTTATAGCATTACAAATCTGCGATGTGTGATCAAAATGAAAACAATTATAATCTGCGATGTATGATCAAAGTGAAAACAATTATTCTTTATAACATTACAAGTCTGCAATGTATGATCAAAATGAAAACAATTATAGACTGCGATGTGTGATCAAAGTGAAAACAATTATTCTTTATAACATTACAAGTCTACAATGTATGATCAAAATGAAAACAATTACAGACTGCGATGTGTGATCAAAATGAAACAATTATTCTGTATAACATTATACAAGTCTGCCATGTGTGATCAAAATGAAAAAAATATTCTTAATAACATTACAAGACTGTGACATATGACTAAAATGAAAACAATTATAGACTGCGATGTATGATCAAAATGAAACAATAATTATTCTTTATAACTTTTCAAGACAGCGATGAGTGATCAAAATGAAAACAATTATGCTTTATAACGTTACAAGACGGCGGTGTGTGATCTCATCTCTGCGTTCATCTCCGTGTAAGAATCACCATGGAAACATCGCAAAGACGTAAGGTTTTCACCTGAAATAACCTCACTCATTTGTGAAAGGCTATTTTTACATTTATTGTTGGTTTTGACGTTTTTTTGACTGTAGCTATGTCAGTGTCGGGTGTTCATGTACCGCAGTCTGGGAGTAAACACATTAACACGTGCTCCACATACACAGACACCTGAATACAAGGGAGTCACACCGACCCACTAAACTCTAAATGCCAAATGACATACACAAGATCACAATGGCCAATCATACACCTCCTCGCACTCAGTTCCTTCACGGATGACACGCGCCACATAATGGCTGTATTACACACACAGTGCCTGCCACGGGATAATTTGATGTAATTAACTTCAAAATAAGTATAGCAAGGTTATTCAATGCTTGCAAATTGCTTTGTTAGCAAAATGTTTTGTCTGTTCCGTTGTTGGTTGTGATGGTCATCGTCAATACTGTGTAAAGTGATCATCAATGTGCATGGCGAGGCACGGTGTGGGCGCGCAGAGTGTGCCGTGGGCGGGGTTTAAAACAGCGAGGGGACAACAAGGATGAGGGAGTGTTGGTAGTGTAAGTGTTGTTTATGACACCGGGCACGACATATAACAATGACATACACATCGATCCAGCTGCCTAGGTCGCTGAGGGTTGAAGCTATTGTGACCAAACATACTTTCAAATGTGAAATTGTTTACGTTTTTAAAATACTCACACTTACGAATACACAATGTCATTTAGAAAGTGGTCAAATGTAACATATGGTATATTTGGAGTTACACTTTCTTAGTAAAGTAAAGATTCTAGTACTTTTGGGGGTTGAGTCCCATCCGGGATTCGAACCCACACCATCACAGTCAGGCACCTAATCGCCAGCACAAAGAGCTGACAGTGTAACCCCAAATATAACATATATATGTTACATTCACAGTAATTTAAGCTACACGTCTTACTTTAAATATATAATTACGAAAGGCCAGACTTTATATAACTGGTGAAAAGGTACACGTATTTAATATGATAATAAATCACCCGTAGGACCAAGCACGCTTTAATATCTGATTTACATGTGTGCGTGTACGGGAAACAACAGATATTCAGGTGTGCATAGTTATTGAGAGTGAGTGAGTGAGTTTGCCACTTTGGGCAATATTCCAGCAATATCACGGCGGGGGACACCAGAAATGGGCTTCGCGCATTGTGCCCATGTGGGGAATGGAACCCGGGCCTTCGGCGTGACGAGCGAAGGCGTAAACCACTAGGCTTCCCCACCGCCCTACTACTTCAGATGATATACTCTTTACTCTTTTCAACTCTTGATAGAACTTTATTTGATACAAATGTTTGGTGTATCATGGGTCGATAAAATATCAACAGCTACGTGTGTTTTTTTCGACACAGCTGATTTTTCATGATATGCATTGCATTGATATAACTTAACCAGTAGAACGCATTTCCTTGAGAATTTATTTAAATAATGCAGATTGTAGCCTGACGTTTATAAATATTCTGTTTTATTTGTCGAACAAATGTTATGCAATGTACCCTAATTTGAGTGTTTAGCGGATAAAATTGAACTTCGTTTTGTTTTGCGAAAAAATCCCATATTCAAATGTCATTCAAAACGAAAGGAACGATATAAATAATTATACTTTAATAAAATCTTTCGAGTTCAGTCGTGTGCTCGCGTGCACAGACCTCTGGAATTCTCATATTGAATTTCTTTACAACTGGTGTTATATATGCTCGTGTTAAGACTGTGGAAAAATAATTTTACGCAACAACAAATAGTTAGCCAGGTATTTAAACAAGGATTTAACATGACATGAGCGCACTTTATACGTTATATACTATCTGGTGTCATAATATTTTATCCTGTGTGAGAAAACATATGAAAAGAAATTCGACTAACACTAGTCGTAAGGAATAATGTTCATACGGGCCCATCAACCGGTCACGTGATGACCACAGTTTGTTGTTGTGAAGAGGACAGCCATATTGGTTTATGCTTCAATGATGAGAATGGAATGTAAACTCTGTCGACGATGTTTTCCGTCCATTGACACATCTTGTTGGCATCATGCAGGGAAATGCTAATGTGTAGACCTTTCGTGTGTAGTGCATGTCTTTACTTTTATGTGTTTATTCTCTTTGGACATAGTCGATGGCTAGCAAGGTGCAAGTTGCCAAGTTCCCGGTCTACACGAATGACTTTAGCGATGTCCCTCGACTAGGGCCAATATCTCATGGACATTGGAATATGGAAGAAAATGAGATACTTGATCGGTTGAATGATGATAGTTCTAAGAACAGAGTGGAAATTCTGGAACAGTTAATTATAACTGTAAAACGAAATGGTGGACGATTACCTTACGCCGAGCCCTTGTCAATCTACAAGGGATTAGCTCAAGCGCTGTCAGATTCAAGTTGGGAAATTCGCCTAAAATGCATTCAGCTGTTGAACGAAGTCATTCCTCATGCAAAAGAGGATCTGGACTATTTCATGGCTCCTGTCATACACAAGTTGATTCCCAATATTGGGGACACCAAGGTGACAGTCAAAAGGGCAGTCATTCAAACCCTTCATGTCTACATGAAGTACACACATGATGTCCCTGCACTTCTGCGAGAGATTGTCCGAATGGGCTTGGAGAGTGACGATAGTAAAGTCAGAAAAGAAACAGTAAGTGCCTTGCCTGTGATTTTAACAAAAGAGTTTGCACATGAAAACTTCTTTGATGTTATCCAGTCTTTGGCTAAAAAAGTTGCTTGATTCATCTGTAGAGGATAACCTACAAGATTCATCTTTGTTCACCCTTGGCAAGATTGAGGCATTAGTTGGGGAGAGAGAATTCAGCAACTACCTGCAGAAACTGTCGTCCCCATTGCGTAACTATTACTTGAAATTGTCAGGGAAACAGGCAAATGGGTTCAGTGAAACTCCTACCCAGACCCCAAGACAAGGCCCTACTCCTGTGCATAGTGTACGCAGATCAGTACATGTATATCCGGAACCAGAATTAAATTATGAAATTCCATACCAAGGAAATATGCCGTTCAGTAACATCAATGGCTCTGTTCAGCATGAACGACATGCACAGTATATGGACAGTCTTCATTTTGGTATTATTCCTAGTCATGTGATGAACCACATTAATGATCAGGAGAACTTTCGCACTCGTGCACAGGCAGTCGAAGAACTTAAGTCTATAGTGAAAGGTCTTGAGGATTATGAACTTGCTGAAGTTCTCATGCCAGAAATGGCACCATTTATTAACTTCCTCAGCCAATTGCTTGATGATTCTAACTTTAAGATTACAAGTGTAACACTGGAAATTCTTTTCCTTCTTGTGGAGAAGCTTAGAAAGAATGTAAAGCATTTTTTAAAACCACTGATCTCGGCTCTAGCCAAGAGGATGTGTGATAACAAAGCAGTTGCCCGACAGGCTGTGATGAAAGTTGCCATCAAAATGATGCAGATCTATGCCCCAAAGCCAGTATTACAAATGATCGCAGAGAACTTGAAGCATAAAAACTCGCGTGTTCGACAAGAAACCATCAATGTGATTATTGCTGCTTTGTTGACTTTTCCCAGTTACGATTTTGACCTTCCGTCCATATGTCAAGTTGTGGGTCCGACATTAACTGATGGGAAGAGACAAGTGCGTCAAGCAGCCCTTGAGTGTTTTTCAGTCTTGGCCCAGGCTATGGGATCAGGTAGATTACAGCCTCTTGTCCAGGCGGTGGATCAAGTCGAACTCACCACAGAAGGTGAAGGTCTCATGGCGGCTGTACAAGCTCGTCTGGCCCGAAGACAGCTTCCACGGCTCAATTCTGATGGACTTGTGGAGTATGCAACTCCAATTCCATCATCAGCAACCCATCGAACCGCTCCAAACATGGCCCAAGGTGCAGACATGGAGTGGATCTTGTCTGTGAGTGGTACTGGCTCTGCAAGGTCATCCAGATCAGACCCACACATGGAGTTGGAGTCTGTGACAGGGTCGGCACGCTCTACCCCAGCAGTTCCAGACACACCCACCTCTGCCCCCAGAAGGTTCATGAGTGCGGGAAGGGGAAGGAACAAGTTCCCTTGGGAGGAAGAAAAGGATGAGAGGACAAGAATTTATGAGGGCCCCCCTGGTTCTGCACCAACACAGGTGAGTTGACCTTGGAATATTGCTTGGTTATCATATGAATGGTGTTTGGTTTGGCAACAAGGGGATGGGGCATCAGTAGGCATTATATGCTGAGCCATCAGGAGTCAAATGTTTTCAGATTGTGAGTGTTTTTGTGTATTTGATGCCATGAATATCATGAGGTACACTGAGTACCGAGTTGGAGCCTTCGATTATTGAACTGAAAATTTTAGTCTTGTATACTCACCAGGGACCCGTTCAATCGTAGCGCTAAGATGATCGCAATTCCCATTTTTTTTACATAGACGTACGACTGTCGTAGTGCTACGATTACTTTGAGGCAGGGAGCCCCTTAGAATTCAGTTCAATTAATTCTTTCCATTCTTTTCTGGAGGGGTTTGGGGAAATACTGGGAACAATGGTGGTTGGGTATGGTGATTTGGCAGATAGAGCATCATGTTGTCATTGTGGCCTGCTGCATTATTGCCAGTGTTTTCAGGGAATGGTTTGTCTGGTCCAGACTAGATACATGCTGCTGTGACATGGGTGGATGAGTCTGACTGCAGGCACTAACCATGCTAACTCACTCACTGGAGATACAGTACTAACAACTAGACTTGAATCAGTGGATCACAGACTGTGTCAATTGATATACTTAACCACATCTTCATATCTGTTTTTTAACATTATAACCATAAAATGTTATCTGTAATCAAGCAATTTCCTTTGTATGTAACAAGGTGTGTTGATCATCAATTCCATTAGTGATTGATGAGTCCATTATTATCAAGCAAAAATAATAGACACTTAGTCACTTGAATTACATTTTAATAATTTACTGATGTCATAATGAATTGGTCCAGCAACTTTTGGACATTTGTTACGAACAGTTCAACTCCATGTACCCCTGACATGATTGTTTTTGTATTGTATGTATGTTGTGTATTTTGTTTGAATAATTAACAGGAATTAGCTTAGGATCAGCACCTGTGCATAAGTCACTGTCAGAGGATTGGTTGAATGTATTTTTATACACAAAAGGTGTTAATTACATCAAAGAGGTACAGGTGTGGCTTAACAAGGTGGATCTGTTATTGTTAGGTGTGTCCTTGATGCTGCTATGGAACTTGGATCAAGACAACTTTGAAGTTATTGTTCGAATAATTCTTTTGACAAGGACCCATCAACTTTGTCCTCAAAGATATGAATGAAATTTTTGTACTGACCATGCTGACTGGCATCGAATGTCCTAATGAAAAGTGGATACAGATCATAATAATGCCCCATCACCAGGCTTCATTACCTTCAGCAGCATTGGTGGAAGTAGGACATGATTTAATGGAGCTTGTGCAGCTTGTTCAAATTGTAGTTGTTTGTACAATGTCTGTTGGGTTAGTAAATTTACTGATGATGGTCATCATGCCTTACATGCTTACATGCATCTTTCATATATACCTGAGGGACTCAGGTCTTACATAGGTTTCATAGGAAGGGGCTAAGTAGACGCTGATTATCAGCACCTGTTGTGCCAATGACTAAATAGCAGCCTCTGTGCGTTAAACTATTGGTCTTCCTAGCCAACATTTGTTTTCAGTTCATTTTCATACGTTTCACTATATGCAGTTATTAATCATGTTGTGAAACAATTATAGAATAGAACCCCATTCACTAACTGGGAGTAACTGTTGTATAACCCATTCAACACCGCTAGGCCATTAGTTACGATGTGAAACATATCACGATATCTTGGAATGATACGATTTGATCAATGCATATCACGATTTGCTATCTTCAGTTATTTTCTTTTAAAAGATATATTTTGATAGGAAGTAACTGTAAATTTTTACATAACCGTCAATTTGTAGTGAACATTAACAAACATTTTTTAGGTCAAGGATACATATCACAATACGAACAAAAGTATTAATATATGGGTCATTTTCAAAATTGGTAGGATTTTCTGTCCGTTCCAAATAAAACAAACTCTGTTAACTTAAGTTTAAGCATGGAATTTTACTGTTCAGTCTCTAGTAACGGTTTAGACAAATAATAGTAACGGTCTGGACATATCTTTAATAAATTTCAATTTTGAAGAATATGTTCTATGGTGTGATAATAAATTTCTATTTACTTATCTATCCTTTAAATAATAAAAACCAAAACAAATTTATCACATTAAGTTTCTGTTTTCTATAAGATCTATAGTCTTTATGAATTAAAGGTAATGGTTAGGACATCTATGGTAACAGTTTGGACAAAATGTAGTAACGGTAAACAACTTAATTGTATTCCAACTAGGGTGTCACGATACACCAATCTCACAATACGATACTTATCACGATTTTAAGGTCACAATACGATACGTATCGCAATACATACTTTTCACGCCTTTTTGTGGAAGGATGCTTAAACAGGGATGTAAATCTGAGATACTTTACTAATAAATTCTTATCATTCTAACAATCATGTTAGTTTTGCAATAACTCAATAAGTATGCATATGTTCTCAGAAAACTTTTATTCAAGTTGAAGTAAAACCAAAGTCACAAGGTTCCCTTTTGTATGTCCAACTTGACAGGTATTCTTGTCATCATTATCATCATGATTCATGATGAAATAAAATGTATCAATCTTATCAGGGTAAATTTGGTAACTGGAAATAACAGTGCACACTTCCAATTGTCTCCAGTTTCAAAGTAAAAATAAATAACTGATCTGTACCAGCAACTGGCGGCAAGTCTGTCAAATATACACTTTGCATAAGTCACAAGTAATATAACTGATCTTACAATCAGCAATCAGCTTAGTGTCAATTGACTCAATGGAAATAGTTGTTAAAGTGGTTTCCTTTCAAACTTTTCACAACTCACTTTTTGTTGGCCATCCCCATAGTAGACTGGGAAACAGAAATGTTTCCACACATTAGACTTGAATTTATTCCCAGTGTGAGTCTCGAAATCTGTAGTTGAGAAATCCATGCACAACACTTCCCCAGACAGCAGTAAGGCGTTATTTAGCGTTGGCAATGGTTTTGCCAATATTGCCAGCGTTAATAGCGATCGAATGCTATCTGGTTAGATTCACTTTCGTTTTGTGACTCCCGCATCATAGCATTACCTTACCAGCAACGTACACGCTCGCTGATTGGTCCATCAAAATAGTCTAGCCAATCACAAAAGCTGTTAGTTTCCAACCTATTTTTTAAGGAAAGCTAGCTACATATATTTATCTCATAATTTTACTATCAAGACTTTGAAGGAGATGGATATAGCATAAAAATTTAAATTGATAAAGTATTAAAATAGGAATCGAAGCATGTATCGTGTATCGTATTGTCAGTGAAAATGTATTGATACATTCACGTATCGAGCGACGCCCCTAATTCCAACCTTTAAAGATTTTTTGGGTGTAAACTGTTTTAACTTCAACTGTGAGACATGTAAGGCTACCATTTACTTTGAATATTTGCTAGGTGCTAATATGTTGGCCAAATCTTTGTATTTGATAAATATGTGTTACCCCGATGATTATCTCACGATTAACAAAAACCTAAGGGTATCCGAGTGAATGAAAGAAGAATATATGTCATGGAGACTAATATTGCACCATAATATCAACAGCAAAATGATATCTATGCAGTGGCCTGTGTAGCATGTCCATGTGTACAGTATCATAGGTTTGGCAGTACCCTTCAGAATTTAAGTTTTTGCAACTTTTTACTTTAGAGGGATAGCATTTGTTTGTTACACTGATGTCCTGACCGTTACTATTCATTCAATTTTCATTCCCCAGTTGCACTCTTCTTTAGATTATAAATGATTTTCAACCTAGACAGGAGTGTTTATCTATTCTTTAGAAGCTACAGTTTGTTTTTATTGAAAAGCCTAAATTCATTCACAAGTTTCATATTGATATAACAAATGTCCAAACCATTACCACAGCATGGAAGAAAACACGTCACATTTGTTACAAGTTACAATTTCTAATACACATTTCACTGTCTGTCCAAAATAGGGTTAGCAGTTGAAGTAAATGATATCATTTTTTCCTTTCATGTTACCTGTATCTACCGTATATGACCGTCTATAAGACGACCCCATGGATAAGACGACCCCCAAACTTGACCCTTAAAATCAGTGTCAAAATGGTATGTTTCGTGCATAAGTCGATCCCCCGCGATGGGGTCCTATTGCGGCAAACACAGACCACAGACAACTGGCAGTTACCAATAATTATAACTTTGGTCCACATTATTCAAAGAATTCACAGTCATATATATTGTGTCTACTCACGGATCGAAACGAAGTGTAGTTGACAGAAAATGTATAATATATTCTGCTTCTCTAGATATCATATTTATTGTACTTTGTAGCAACAAACTGGCTTGCTTATTTTACCCCATTCAACAATCACGAACTGATTACCGCCTCGTTTTCGATTGACTGCTAGTTTACAGTAACATTGGTAAAAATGTGTGAATTTAAATGGCTTCCGTATTTTACCCCATTCAATGTGCGTACAACTTCTGCTTACCACGTTCATGAGGGTCCGTATAACCTTAGTGTTGATTATATATATTTTACATAAAAACTAATTAAAATTACACAATGCTAGGATATATTTCTTTGGGTTAAATAATAGTATTCTGTATTATATTTTACTGACAACTGTGTCAGAATTCTTCCCGTTATATTGTGCATGTTTGAACTTGTTCGCCGGGAAACGTGTGCACAGCTGATTGCTATTTCCGGTTCAAATACACACGGTAATCTTAATCTTATTAATTTATAGAGCAAAAACTGTAACTAAAATTACACAATGCTAGGGTATATTTCTTTGGGTTAAATAATGGTATTCTGTATTATATTTTACTGACGACTGCGTCAGAATTGATCCCGTTGTATTATTGTGCATGTTTGAACTTGTTTGCCGGGAAACGTGTGCACAGCTGATTGCTATTTCCGGCTCAGATACACACGGTAATCTTAATCCCTGCAAATAATACAATGCCCAGCAAAAACA